AGCAGTATAAAAATAAGCAAGTTCCCACCCATAAGATAAGTCTCATAAAATGAGGATGCTCTGCATCTAGCAATAACATTATTTTAGCTCATATATATTTTTTCCTTCATAGCAAAATTGCAAATCTAAACATTTTATTTCACCTATTACATCTTTATAGAGATTCTCAACAGGATCACATATTCTATAATCTTCTTTAAGCTTATCGAACAAGCTCTTACTAATGGTATTAAACTTCGACAATGTATCAATTAATGCTTTTACTGAGATTTTTCCTTCTACGAGTATATTGATGAATATGTTAAATATGTTTAATGATGTATATTATAATTGAAAAATAATTATAATTTATTCTGAATTTTATTATGTATTAATATAATAAATAATAGCGAAGCTAGTACCAAGATACATATTACTACACGATATTGACAATGAATAAAGCTATATTAGAAAATAATCATAAATCTCGAAATGGTAATAGTGTGATATCTCGCATTATTAAACAAGTATCAAATAAAAAAATTCAGATCTCTCTCCGTCAATTACTAAAAATAGTGAAACCCGAAATTCAGCAAGATATTATAAACTCGATAGCAAACCCAGATATTTCTCGAAGAAATCATATACCATCTGAGGTTAAAAGAAAATACAATGCTAGAAAAAAACTAATTTTTAATGATACCACATCTGAGTCTTCATCCTCATCTTCATCTGGGTCTAGTTATGAATGGTCTAATGATGAAGATTTTCCTATAAATATGGTGAAAGCAAAGAAGCGTGATTAGTTCTCATTGTCAAAAATTTCTCTGTATAAATTGATATTATCCTCGATCTTACTATTTTCTTGTTTAGGTGCTAAAGTATTTGGTCTGTCATTCATTACACCATAATATTCAACTGATGAAGCATGATCTATTTTATGTCTATATGCCAATTGCTGTAAATATTGACAGCGGGAATCATTCCTACCTCCATGTACTCTGGAAACATGATCAGCACCCATTTTTCTTAACATATATGAGGTAATTCTATGGCGACTTAAGAATTGATTAAGAGGTGCAACATTAGTATTCACATCCTTATCTTTTAACAAGAAGAGAAATTTATCCGGTATTGATCTTTGAATCCCCTTTGTATCTAAGGAATGTTTCAAGTTGGTATATGTTTTTTCTTCTCACTAATCTAGTTTATACCGGTAAGCTAAATATATGAGATACATATTCATTTTGATACCTCTTTGAGAGCTTAACTCTTAAAGCTCGTTCTTCAGCCAACTTTGGAGATATTCCATTTGATATAAAATTTTTATATGCTTGTATACGCCAATAATCATATAGAAACCTAGTTATTTTATCAGATAATATCCAACGCTTAGTATCTATAGGGCAAAGAGCTTTCTTTTCTGATTCGACCAAAGATAAAATATAGTTTTTTGATCGGATACCTACATTTTTAGCATAGAATACTTCATTACCAAAAAGACAGTCTCGATATACTAGAGTCATAGGATCTGCCTCAGTTCGCATAGCTTCTTGCTCTGATAATAATGATCTATCTATCGGATCA